ACTTGTCGTTCTCGATTGTAGAGTCTGACCTTTCTCTAACCTTCCACGTGCAAGGCAGAATGCAGCTGAAGCAATTTTACCTTTCGAAGACGTTGCCAACATGAACGAAAAAAATATTAAAAATCTCGATTTATCTTGTCTGATGATAAGGCAAATAATATGTTCAATGTAGAGAGGACGAAAATGTAATCCGTATGTTTTGAGTTAATAGTTGTGTTTTCATGAGTGTATTGCTGTTTTATTGTGTGTGTGTGTGTGTGTGTGTGTGTGTGTGTGTGTGTGTGTGTGTGTGTGTGTGTGTGTGTGTTTGTGTGGGCGTATATATGTATGAGAGAAGCAGAGAGAGAGAGAGAGAAAGAGAGAGAGAGAGGGAGGGAGAGAGAGAGTTTGCTACTGCTATGGTATGTGTTGAATATACATCGCAAGAAGAAGACAGACTGGATGAATAAGAAACTCGACTTAACAATTGTTTGAAAAAGTGGCTCTTCTTGGAATCGAGTTAGCACATTAAAATGTGATCAAGGATATATTCTTCTTGTGTCTCCTTCACTCATCTCCCTGAAGTTATCTGTCCCCTGGCAGTTTGATTAATCTCTGAACAATCATTCACCTCGGTCCTGCGTTTTAGGTTTATAAATAGCTCGTAATTAATTATGTAGAATAACCTCTAATAGCTTCCTATAGGGTTAAGTCACGGCCAGTTTCCAAGTACAAGACACTTAAGTGCTGTGGCTGTGGTTCATGTCCGTAGCGACATGTTAATAATGTCTTCGCTCGCTTAACCCAGCGCGTGATATAATTGTTTGTATGTGTGTTTGAGTTTTATCATATTGTACACTTCTCCGGGGGTCTTTGTGGTTTTCGGGGTGAAGAAAGCATTACTAGTCTTTTCTTTTGTTAATTTGACGGTCTGGGGAGTATTTTGCTGTCTGTTTGTTTGCCTGATAGATAGATAGATAGATAGATAGATAGATAGAACTGTAAGTAACGATCATTTGACGAATTAGGTCCTGTTGGGGTTCCATGGCATTAATTTGAAATCTCGGAAATATTCATAGCTTCTTTGTTGTTGCTCAATGCATTTCAAGAAATGGTTCCATACGTAGTACATATCGTTGGCTCATCTGAAGGGTTCTGCTCTTCACTCAATGCACGACCTCTCGTCACCTCCATAGTGAAGGTCATCCATTTCCCAAGTGGCCCTTGGGTGACACAAACATACAGTCACACATTCACGCACACAATAATACAAATTCACGTACACGCACGCGTGAGTGCGCGTGCTCGCACACGTTTATCCCCGTCGGTCTCCCTTCCCTTATTCCCTGCCTTACGCAAACTAATTTAGGGCGCATACTTACACGCACTCACACACACACACACACACACACACACACACA